TCAAAATAGCCAACATCAACAAATCAACAAATGACAAGTGTTGGCGAGGTTGCAGAGAAAAAGGAACACTCATGCACTGCTGGTGGGAAGGCAGATTGGTGCAACCACTGTGGAGAACAGTATGGAGTTTCCTCAAAAAACTGAAAATGGAACTCCCATTTGACCCAGTAATCCCACTCCTAGGAATATATCCCAAGAAACTCGAAACACCAATCAGAAAGGATATATGCACCCCTATGTTCATAGCAGCACAATCTGCAATAGCTAGAATCTGGAAACAGGCTAGGTGCCCATCAGCAGATGATTGGATCAAAAAACCAAGGTACATCTACACAATGGAATACTATGCTGCCATAAAAAAGAAGGAATTTTTATCATTTGCAGCAACCTGGATAGAATTAGTGAATATCATGCTTAGTGAAATAAGCCAGTCAATGAAAGAGAAATACCACATGACCTCACTCATTTATGGATATTAAAGAACATTATAAATTGATGAAACAAAAGACAGATATAAAGACAGTAAAGCAACAAGCAGACTGTCAAATTAAAGTGGGGAGGGTAGGGAGATGTGGGGGAGATAAGAGATCAACCAAAGGACTTGTATACATGCATATAAGTACAACCAATGTACACAAAACTCTGGGGAGGGAGGGCATGTATGGGAGGGTGGGCAATGTTAAAATATGTACACAGATAATAATTTAATAAAATAATAAAAAAGTAAATAAAGAAATAAATAAATAGAAGAAGCATTTATCTCTCTGCTAAAAAAAAAAAAAAAGGCTGGAATGTTAAATCTGATCAAATAATTGAATTAATTTCCTCTCTCCTGGGAACTGATCTTTAGTCCACTTCACAATGGACATTCCAGTTGCTAAAACCATTATCTCTCCCCTCCAGGGTTTCCCAGAATCCTGACAAGTCCAGAGAATTCTTCATCCAGAAACAGCCCTCCTAGAGTCCTTTAAAAGCCTCTGACTCCCAGGTGCCTCGTTAGCGCAGTAGGTAGCGCGTCAGTCTCATAAAAGCCTCTGACTCCCATATTTGGGTGCTGGCACCATTTTGGGACTCAGTCCATCTGGAATCCAGATGACCTAACACATTTATAATCCCTTACCAAAAAAAAAGAAGAAACCAGAAACTTACCCCTGTTCCTCCGTACCTAAATTTTAATGAATCAACATATTGAAAGACAAATCTGAAAAATTAATGAATATTCTGTTAAAACCCTCCCTTTTGATCTCCCTTAGGATTCTGTTCAGCTAAAGAATGTTTAAAACCTTAAAACAAAGAACCCATGGTGTGCTCTTTTATTTAGTTATTTTTTTAATATATTGTATTGTCTTTTTACAGAGAGAAAGGGAGAGGAATAGAAAGTTAGAAACATCGATGAGAGAGAATCATCGATCAGCTGCCTCCTGCACACCTCCTACTGGAGATATGCCCATAACCAAGATACATGCCCTTAACCGGAACCGAACCTGGGACCTTTCTGTCCACAGGCCAATGCTCTATTCACTGAACTAAACTGGTTAGGGCCCATGGTGTGCTCTTACTAGAGTATACCTGCACCTTCTATCTGTCTCTGCTCTTTTTCTCTAAGGATTCTCATGAGACTTGCAATCAGTGGGAAGTGGCAGCTCATTCCAAGCTTATCACCTGAACATTTCTCCAGGGCCCCCATTTCTCTGACTTTCTTCTGTTGCTTCTTCTATCCTAAGCACTTTCTTCATTTCACTGTCCCAAGATTTAATAAACATACTCCACCTAGGGCATGCTGTTTCTAGAGCATGCCCATAGCTTATATCTCTGCTCTCTGTCTCCTAAATACTAAGGCACCCCACAAGACTTGCAACCAGGAAAGCAGTGGGCAGCAGCAGTTCATCTTGGGCTTACTTTCAGAACCTGTCTCCAAGGCCCCCTTTTTCTCTGACTCTCCAGTGAGCTCACTTCTGTCACTGTGACTTCTATTTCTCAGTGAGCCAAAGCAGCCTCACCCAGGCTCTCTTTTATAACTTTTTCTTATAGGGGCAGAAATAGAATATTGGGGAACAACTATAATAGTAAGAAGTATTAATCATGTTCTGTTAACCATGATTGTTTTATTCTGATTAAAAAAGGCACATTTTAACCTGGATGCATGTGAAACCTGGGAACTCACCTGGAAATGCAGCCCACCCTCTCTATCAGTGAGCTTCCTATTCTCATGGAAAGCAGAAACCAAAGCCAGAAACCAAAGCTTCCAGCTCTTTAAAGCAACAGGGTCTTTGCATATCATTAATCCCTTTGAAGACCTCAGACCTTTTGCATATCTGTAAAATGCCCATTTGCCTTTATTGCCTACTTCCCCATGTAATGTTTGTCCTTCTACCTAATATAAGCAGTTGGCTTATGGTGGGGTAGTGAGCAGATTTTGGTGGATGATCTACTACTTTCCCATGCTGCTGGCAGTATTGGAATGAACAATCAGATATGATTCAACCCTGTCCCTACTTAATTGGTTCAAGTAGTGACAGGCAACTTGGACCCACTGATTGTCCAGTTACACTTCTACATTCAGCCCTTCCTTTGTTTCACTGTTCCCACTTTTTTTTTAAAGCTATATGTGTTGATGGGCTTTCTATTGTACTTCCAGTCTTTTTTTTTTTTAATTTAATAGATTTTGTTGATTTTTTTTACAGAGAGGAAGAGAGAGTGATAGAGAGAAACGTTGATCATCTAACTCCTGCACACACCCTACTGGAGATGTGCCCACAACCAAGGTACATGCCCTTAGACTGGAATCAAACAAGGGACTTTCCAGTCCACAGACTGAAGCTCTATCCACTGAGCCGAACCAGTTTCAGCCACTGTTCCCAGTTTTAATAAACATAATCTCAAAATCATCTGCACTCATAGTGTGAAATCTTTTCTACATGAAATCAAGAACCCACACACTACCTGCAGGCACCAGTAACACAAGGAATATATACAACAAATTACTATTGTCTCTCTACTTGAGACTTTTTTTTCTGGTTGTCTACTATGAGTGTGATTTACCTGTGCCTTTCCTAGGAGCTTCTAGATTGGAACTAAGATAAGCTTACCATTCATTCCGTTTAATTTTAGAGCCAGCTTTTTCTAATTTTGCATGCAAATTTTGATTTAGGCATCAAAAGAGCTACATTTTAACATTACATTTTCCCATTTCTGCAAATACTTGCAAATAAAGGCTTCCTGCTTATTGTATATCTGCAGAAGTATTAAGGAGGGCTGAGGTTGGAAGTTAAAAAATAGCCATTTATTTTTCTCCACCTGTCCTGCCTTAGCCTTGGTTCTCTCAACCCTTAACCATTAGCTATAGGTGTTTCTCTATTTCTGCATCCAGCACAGAAAAAAAGGGGGTCCAGTTCCTGAGTAGGAAAGCTTGGGATTGAGAAATAAAAGAAAGAGACAAGACACAAAGATAGAAGGAAAAAGCTGGGAGCTAGGCGGGACCACCACCCTCTCTGATGGAGGGACAGGGACACAGAGCCCATACAGCAAGTTTATTTTAAATTTCCAAATATCAGGAAGGTTCACCAAAAGTTAGGATAAAGGAGACCATTTGCATTCTTGAGTAGGCCCGAGCATTCCTGGTGCTTGACTGGATTTATATATCAAAGTCGCACTCTCAGATACCTGGGCTGAAATGAAGGCCAATCTGAAAACACTCTTGCCTTTTTGGCAAAGCGTGTTCTCAGAGCATGACTTTGCCTGTAGCCTTGGTTTCAGCTGACAATAATTAAAGAAATGCCATGTGCCTTCCCAGGCACTGTCTACATTTAGCTCTCTAACACAAGGTTTTTTTCAAAACAGATAAAAGAAAGTGAGCCTCTTAACCTTAAAATAGGGGTGAGTGGAAGGCCAGAATCTAAAGAAACTCACCCAATGCAAAATGTAAGGCCCAGAGGGCCCCCAGCTGATACTTAGCATGGGTCTGAATCTGCGACATGGTTCTGGGTGTGCTCCTCTGGAATTATGCCACTTTATACCATGATAAGTCAATCCTAGTCATAGCAAGTGAGCCAGCTGGGCTTCGTAGCCTCAGGAAACAAGGTCCCATCTGGGGCACCAGATGTTATTGAACTGGGGACTGGCCCTGAGCAGGTTGACATAAGGACAGCCAGTATGTGTGTTCTTGACTTCTTATACAAAAGTTTTCACAACAAGAGTCCAAGTGACTATGAGGGTGTGTTTATTATAGCTGAGGACAGTAAACAGGGTTTAGCATAGAAGAAGCAGCAGGAGAGACTTAAGCTGGGCTGCTTTGGTTCTCTTAAAATGTTATTGGAAATAAATGAGCCAAGGCAGGGCTGCGTTAGCTCACTGGGAAGTCTGAAAAGAGAGAGAGGTTCAGAGGGTTAGCCTGGGATAAGCTGCTGCTGCCCATGGCTCCCCTAGTTGCAAATTTGTGGGATCCCTTAGAATTTAGGATGTGTGAGCCTGTATGGGAAGAAGAGAGAGAAGGGAAAGACATGGGTGTTTTCCCTAGAGAGAGAGACATGTTGGGTCTTTGTCTTGAGAGTTTTGTGTGTGTTTGTGTGTTGTTGTTTTTTCTCTCTCTTGCAGGTGAGAATCCTAGAGGAGGGTTTTAGAGGAGTATTCATCAGTTTTCCAGGTGGGCTCTTTAAGTGTCCTGGTCTCTACTGATTGGTCTGTATCAGGGCAGGGGGTCTTTGCAGCTGGTCCTGATGTCACCCACTTCGTTTTGCTATTTTTATTGGCCTGGATCTTTCTTTTCTGTATCTGCTGTAAATTGCTCTGCCAGTTTGTTCAGATATCTGTCTCAGTTTCCCTATTCCACTTGTCCAGGTTTACTGACCTGTCTCATGCACTAGTGCAGTACCCTACCAGAACTCATGCCCATGGTCTGCCTGTAGATGTGGCCTGTGGGTGTCTGGCTCTAAGTAGTACAAGCTCCGCAGGCCTACCCTGGCGCCACCCCTTACCTGGCTACATGCTCTGTTCTGGTTCTGGCTGAGGCCTTCTTCCCCTTTGGTTGCCTAGGGCTAGGAGAAGTCTGAAGAGATCTGGGTGGAGCATCTCTGAGCTCTATCCTGGGACCTAAAAACCCACCCTGTGCTTTGCCTTTTCCCTTAACCCATATCCTGTCAGCATTAAAGCTCAAGGTTGCTCCAGAGCTCCGCGTCTCACAGGAGGGAAGACTAAAGAGCATGTAATAGTTAGTATCCTGAATATCCCATCCTCCCATCCCCACCACTTCACTCTTCTCACTGCCCCCACCCCAGTATCTCAGTAACCTGACTTCTGCAAATGTCTCTGCCTTCTCTGCCTGATCCCAGGTCTCTGGGCTCCTCCTCTTATGGCTTTGCCTGCCTCTTCCATTCACCTCCCTTCTCCCAACGTCATCTATTGAAAGAAACCAAGAGGATTATAAAAGTGTGTTTGTAGTGCTGAAGAGGAGTTTGTAGGGAACCAGTAATGACCCCGGTTGGCGTCTGGTATTGGGACATGGTAGGGGACAAGAATGACTGCTATTCTCTGCCTGCCTAATGCCCTCCACACCCATCTCCTCCCCAGTGAACATCCCTGAGGCCCTCGGAGCCGGGACTGAGACGATGAGTGAAGCAAATAGGGCCAGTGAAGCAGACATGGCCAGTGCAGGAGAGATGACCCATGGAGCCCAGCAGCGGATGGCCACGATCTTGGAATTAATGAGCAAGAAGCAGCTGAGGGAGTTCCTGCTGAAGCTGCCTGATAAGGATCTCTGCCAGCACTCTCTGGGGGCGACCCCAGCGCAACCAGAAGAGATGGGTCACATGGAGGTGGCCTCTTGCCTTGTGGCTCAATACGGGGAGCAGCAGGCCAGGCAGCTTGCCCTGCAGACCTGGGAGCAGATGGGCCTGAGAAAGCTGTGTGCCCAAGCCTGGAAAGAGCCAGCTATGAAGTCAGGTGAGTAGACAACCCTCTGTTGCTCTCCTTCCCACCAATGACCTACTGAAATCCATCAGACATTTTTCTGGAGAATGCCCAGTCAAAGGGGGGATCCAGGCTCAAACTAGACTTCAGCTAAAAGGCTTGTGGAGAAGAATGCCAAGTGCATTCCCAGCAAACCATGGATCCTGACAGCACACAGAAGGCCAGAGAGACTAGAGCTCCCCAAGGCCAGAGAAACTCTCAGAAGGCATTAGCATAAAGAATGTGGGTTTCATGCCAAAACTGGTTTGGCTTGAGCATTTGTGGATAGAGCGTCGGTCTGCGGACTGAAAGGTCCCAGGTTCGATTCCCATCAGGGGCATGTACGTTGGTTGCGGGCACATCCCCAGTAGGGGGTGTGCAGGAGGCAGCTGATCGATGATTCTCTCTCATTGATGTTTCTAACTCTCTATCCATCTCTCTTCCTCTCTGTAAAAAATCAATAAAATATATTAAAATAATAATAATAAAATAAAAATAAAAATAAAAGAATGTGGGTTTCACACCCACCTCACAAGAGGCCACTTTCCTGGTCTTGTGCTGTAAATATAGAAGGAAGCTGGCAAGAAGAAAGTTCCAGTCCTGGCATGACCACATTGGGCAAGTTGCTTCACTGCTCTCTGTATCTTCTCTCCATCTGTAAAATGAGAGGGTAGAAGCCCCCTGGGATCTAGGAGGGTAAAGAGATAATCCATATTATACACCTACCACAGAGTCCACTTTCTAGTAAGTGCTCAATGAACTGTTCTGTTGCTGTTGCTGCCCCTGTGGATGGTATTATTACTGACAGGTGTAGGTGGCAGAGGCTCTCAGCCTCATGTGAGGGGATTTGAGGCACAGATAGGACATATATGGGGAGGTAGAGGCAGAACCAGGGCAGAGATACAAAGTTCCTGGTGCCCAGATCACGACAGTTGTCAGGAGTGTCAGCGCACCATTCTCGATGAGAGGGTGGGGCACGCTGCAGTGGGGTCACTGGTTTCCCTGACCTCTCCTAGTTAAGACCAGGTCTCTTGTTTTCTGGTGCTGTTGATGATGATGGTGAGAACAGCACCAGGGGTCAGACCAGACATCATTTCATAAACCTTGGTTCTTGAGTTCTGACTAGGGAAGAATTCAGAGCCAAGACTCAAACTATAACAGACCATTTATTTAGAAAATCAAGAGGTATAAAAAGTGGATGGTAGAACAAAGGGGTTCAGGAAACAACTTACAGAAGCAAAGGAAGTGCCCCTGAAGCTTAAGAGTGATGACATAAAGGTAATGATAACAGGGGATGGAAGGGGTGGGGTGCGGAAAGGCATGGGCATGCTCCCAGGAGGGAGAGCACACTGGGTCCTCCATCCTAAAAGCTTTTTAAGAGTGGAGATCTTAGGGGAGACCCCAGAGAAGATCTCTATAGAATATTCATCAGCTTTCCAAGTGGGTCCTTTGTAGTCTCCAAGGATTGGTTGGTGCCAGGGCAAAGGGTCATTAGTCAGTGAAGATGGTTTTCCTGCCTTTCTGGGCCTGGAACTAAAACACAACTGATGCCTAGATATTATTTCTTGGGAGGAAAGATCAGGGGATCTGAATAGGATGGCCAGAGATATGAAAGCTCAGGGGGTCCACATCCCATGACAACTTATATGCTAGGGGAAGAAAGATTACCCTGGGGTAAGGTCCTTGCTTTCCAAGTTTTTTCCATTGCTAGGCCACCCTGATGACCTTCTCTACCTGGCCTATTGTCCTTGCTCTGATCATGCCAGCACAGCTCTAACACTGAAGTTCCCCAGTTTCAATTCCCTAGCTCCTGCCCATCCTACTAGCAAACATCAACCTCCTTATCTGCTTCTTACAGCACAATTGCCCCTATTTCTCTACTCCCCAATTCCACCTAAGCAAAACTCCACCACGGTGCTAAAATTATTTGACCCTAAGTCCTGGGGTTCCTCCAAGACATAGAGAGAATTTGAAACACTTGCCTGACAGATGGACAAAGCTGGAGATGTGAGGCTTGTTGTGCTGTCCTGAGGGCCCAAGTGGGGCTGCAAGGCAGCAAGTGGGTTCCCAGCCAGGTGAACCTAGAGCTGCATGAGGACCTGGGCCAACAGAACTCCATAAGAAGGATGGAGGAGCCAGGGTGGGGGTGGGTCAGTAGGCCTAGAAATGATCTTTCAGGAACATCCCAGTGTTGAGGTTATACCCCCCCCCCATGATTGGACAGATGGATAAACTGAGTCCCAGGCAGGCCAGGGATTGAATCTTACCCAACCAGGTGCCATGTGTAACATGGTCCTTGGCCAGGCACAGAATGGGCCATAATAATAACTCTGAACTTCCCTGGGGTCTGGGTGGTCTAGAAAATTCCAAGGAGGACTCTGTTCACCAGGTGAACCCCAAGAGAGGGTAGGCCTATTCCTCAGCTCAAGCCAGTCCCCTCTCCTGACTTCTCTCCCTCCTCATATGGAGTCACCCAGGCTGGAAATCTCAGCTACATCCTTGCCTCTTTCTCTTTTCATCCCAGCATCCAAATCCATGCTCACACAGCACTTGGAAACAGCCAGGGCTAGAACCTACACCCAGTGACCTCTGCCTCCATTCTGATGCTGCTTTGTGGGACCCCACCTCCAGTTTCCATGTCCCCCTTTTCTCTTCCCTTCCCTCTATGCCATTCTCCCGCCTCCTGCCCCCAGGCCCTGGAAGTGATGTTACAAGCTCAAGCTTCATTGTCTGACATAATAATAGCTAATCTTCCTCTCTTTGGTTTCCATTTGCATTGAATATTTTTCCATCCTTTTCCCTTAGCCTAAATGTGTTTTTAAAGCCAAAGAGAGAGAGAGAGAGAGAGGAGAAAATGGCAGCAGAATAGACAGATGTATTCCAAGCCCTGACCCGGAGCAGATAGAAGGAGCAGTTGAGGGTCATTTGGGGGTGTTTGTTGGCAAGCTAAGGGACAGCAAAACTCTAGGAAAAGGTGGGGGACTGCTAAACGGGGTTCCCTGACCGGGCAGCCCACACTGAGGCTGGGTCCTCTCCTGGAGCTACGAACTCAGACGGAAAACTGTGCCATCTTGCAAGGGAAAGTGGATCTTATTGGAAGACTGAAAACCCACAACTGTGGAGACCACCAAACAGCTGTGAGTCCCCAATCAGAGCAAACAAACAGAGTCAAAGGAGCTCTTCATTCCACCACAGAAAGGTCAGATTTTGCAGGTGATAAAGTGAGGTATCTGGGTCATGGTAGCAGCAGTGGCAGCCTGAGAGCGAAATGCAAGCGCTGCAGGACCTGGAGGACTGGGGAAGTCTGTGCCTAGAAAAGTTACTGGCTGTTGGGTCTGGCGTGATCCGTGAATGTGGAAGGGGGTCCTCAAAGCTGCTAACAGAAGGGATCTCTAAAAAGCAACCCATTCCGATCTGACACAGAGGGAGAGCATAAGAATTTGAAAGGTGTGCATGCTGCTTAAACTTGCGCTCAGATCCATCATTCGCATACCTGGGCTTTTTCGTCTTCATTCCCTTGCTTCTGATTACTAAGCAAGGATCACCCAGTTTGGCATACCCTGGGAGACTGCAGGGGGAAGTTGCTCTCCTGGAAATTAGGGATTGGAGTGGGGAGAGACTATCCGAGAGCCAGCTCTGAGGCAGCCCACCTCCACAAACCTGTATTGAGTGCTGCTATAGAAAAAGAAGGCTAGAGCAGCTAAAGAGACTGGGAAGTCAATCCAGAAACACTGCCACCTAGGGGACGAATAACAAACTGCCTTTATTTTTTTATTTTATTTAATAAAAAATAAAGTAATACAAGAAATTAAGACAATGCCTACTTAAAAATCAGGACTGGCTTACAACAATGAGGAGAAGTGGGATGCAGGAAACTGCCATACTGTCTGGACTGAGAAACAGGTGTGCCAAACAGAACAATAGAGGAAGTGAATGACCCTCACTACGGCACATTTTGGGGAAAAAATTTTTTTAACTTTTTGCATCTTTTACTTAAGAAACTAATTGTTTTTCTTTTTTCCTCACTTGATTTTACCTTATCAATTATTACATTTTTTATTTTCAATAAGCATTATTATTATTGCTATTTTCCTTTTTTTCTTCTTTCTTTCTTTTTTTTTCTTTTTTAAATAGATCTTTATTGGTCAGATTATTACAATTGTTTCTCCTTTCCTCCCCCCAAAAGCTCCCCTTCACCTGGTCCCCACCTTACCCTCTGCCATTACCTACCCCAGCCCCCCACTGTCCTCATCCATAGGTATATGATTTTTGTCATCTCTCTTCCCGTACCCCCCACACAGATACCTTCCCGTGCCCCTTTCCCCCTGAGAATTATCAATCCCCTCTCATTATATGCCCCTGATTCTATTAGATTCAACAGTTTATTCTGTTAATCAGATTTTTAATTCACTTGACTTTTATATTCACTTGTTGATAGATATGTATTTGATGTTCATAATTTTTTTCTTTACTTTTTTCTTCTTTTCCTCTTTTTAAAGAACACCCTTTAGCATTTCATATAATACTGGTTTGGTGGTGATGAACTCTTTTAGCTTTTTCTGATCTGTGAAGCTCTTTATCTGACTTTCAATTCTGAATGATAACTTTGCTGGGTAGAGTAATGTTGGTTGTAGGTTCTTGCTATACATCACTTTGAACAGTTCTTGCCATTCCCTTCTGGCCTGCATAGTTTCTGTTGAGAAATCAGCTGATAATCGTATGGGTGCTCCCTTGTAGGTAACTAACTGTTTTTCTCTTGTTGCTTGTAAGATTATCTTTGTCTTTTGCTCTTGGCATTTTAATTATGATGTGTCTTGGTGTAGTCCTCTTTGGATTCCTTTTGTTTGGGGTTCTGTGCACTTCCTGGACTTATAAGTCTATTTTTTTTCCCCAGGTGGGAGAACTTTTCTGTCACTATTTCTTTCAATATGTTTTTGGTTTCTTGCTCTCTCTCATCTTCTGGTACCCCCATAATTCTGATGTTGGTTCACTTA